TTTTTTCCTGCAGTATATTGCATGCATCCTGGTCTTTGGTTGGAAGGAGTTTGCTTACAAAAACTAGAAGCCAGAAGAGTTTGAGTGTTGAGCTTCTCTGTCAATTTGTCAATCCCCCTGCTGCACAGCACATGGAGAACATAGCATTTTCTTGGTAAAATTGCACTCTTGACTGATGTGAAGCAGGTGGGTTTGGCTGCTTGCCACTGTGGATGGAAGGATGCTTCCAATATGACTATTTAATCCTGGCAGAGGATGGCTGGAAAGACATCCCTTTGCCACTCTAGAGGCACTGTATAGCCAGCCTTTTCACTGGTGTAATCTGGGTTTATTATTCACAATACTTTGGTTAGCTGCACAAGAATTCTCACTAACATTACCTTCACCAAACCTGAACTGTATATATCTGCTTATTTAAACTCCCTTCTGCCTTGAGCCAGATACTCATTCTGCACAGGGAAAATTATATGCCTGTTTTCAGGGTGTATTAACAAGTGCCAAACACTCCACATAGGCAGGGCTCCAGCACACACGTGCGTGTTGTCTCTTTCTGCACACGGAGAGAAGGGCACTTCACCAGCTGGTTGGTGTGTTTCATTCAAACAATTTAAGCAAGCAAAAGCATAAATAATAATTTTTAGAGACCTGACAAGTCCTGTTCTGCTTCAATTTATGTAGATTTTGGTCTGAGTAAAGAATCCATCGACCATGACAAGAGAGCATACTCGTTCTGCGGGACAATAGAGTACATGGCCCCAGAGGTGGTCAACCGGCGAGGGCACACCCAGAGTGCTGACTGGTGGTCCTTTGGCGTGCTCATGGTAATGCAGAAATTGTGCTCATCTGTGGGAGGGGTGGCTGTGGTAGGGATCAGATCCCTCAGATAAAAATTGCAGTATCAGTGAGCTTTTTCAGAGAGGTATTGCACTCTCCTCAACCCAGCCTTTTAAAATTACATGTTCAGATGCTCCCCCCCCCCACCTTGCACCCCTCCAGCCTCTTCAGTTTGAGCGCTATTGTTGCCAAGGTAGATGAAGAAAAGATCAAGAAGTTGGTTTGTGACACTATGACTTTTTTTTCAAAGCTGTATGAACACTGTAAGTTTTTGGAAGCATTGTTTTATTAAGCATAGCACTTCACTTGAGCTCAGACACCAGGCACCTGCTACTCTCACTGGGATATGTTGGAATAACAGAGCTGTTGCTGCTGTGTCCTGTGGTGTGCAGGCTGCAGATCTACCCTGTGCTCAGGGCATGGCCATGACCAGGCAGCTGTGGCTCACAGGGTACCTCACGGAGGTTGTCACAGCAGAGCCTAGGCAGAATCAGAAATTACTGTAGCAACGTGCTCTTCCAATACAGCCCCATTTCCTGTGGTATGGAGGCTGGTTTTGGTAGCTATATATTGCACTGCATACCAAAATCCATAGAATATGTTTAAATTTTGTTCACCTGAAGTGGACAACTGATGCCACCAGAGGAAGCATAGGAAGCAATGTGAAAAACACTGAAAATTTGGGCTGGGTAGGGCCTACATCACTGATCTAGCAGGTTGGCAGCAGTTAATCTACATAAATATTGTAATTTATTGCCTGAATTGTAAAAGAAGTAGAATATCCTTATCTCATGTGTCCACAAGTCCATTTGGGGATGCTCAGCACTTCTGAACCATGTACATTTATTCACAAAAATCAATAGAGTATGTCTCATAGAATAAATCTATCCCTACCCTTTAACTTTTTTGTTATGTTTTTACTTTTGGTGAATAGCTGAGTCTTCTCACTCTTTGTCTCCCATTAAAAGATGATGCATATGGTGTATAGATTGTTCTTCTTTCACCAGCTGATAAACTCTTAATAAACTGGACTACTTCCTCCATGGGTATTGCTAGCCTTTCTTTTTTTTTCTTTCCATTGCTCTTTTCAATCCTCCCCTAAAGATTCAGCATATTAGAATTAGAAAAGATACAAATTCCTACAAAAGGAGATGAATTAAAGAAAGTAAAACCCTTTTAACTCCAAGCTAATGTTTTAAGCCTTTAAGTGTTACCAGACATCTTAGAGAAAAATATGTCAATCAGGTCGACCTTTTTTCCTTTTCAACAGTTAGCTAGTTGAGACCAGCAAAACAACACTACACGACCGGGAGGATTTTCTGATGCTGTCTTTCATTCTGCTCTTTTCTGCTTGCTTTCTTTGTTCTGTCACATGTATGTTCTATTACGAAAACTGTTTTTGTCAGTGTGAAAAACTGAAGATAATGAAATTGCATTCAAATTATTTATTAGCATTTCTTCCTAAGCACTTTGCAGTATGATGTAAAATAGATGAAGAAAATATACCAGTTGAGGAAATATGCATAGATTCAAAAGAAGTGTATGTGATAGTTTAATTTTCATATCTAAAATTCTCATCGAAAAAGGAAACATATTATGCCTATAGTCATAATATGTATCTTCCTCATCATCAGAGCAACCAAACACTCTTCTGTTCTGTGAAGAGAGATTGCTGCTTCTCTTAGCAGCCCTCATTGACCAGGGCACAGACTAGAATCAACTGAATCATCCTTGCACACTCCATAAAAGTGACATATTGTGACTATTAATAGCAAAACAAACTTGTCTGAAAATGACTAAGTTCTGGTATTATTTATTATGTTATTTTTTTTTATGATTTATTATTCATATGGCAGTTTCCCAGGCTGAGGATTATTTCTCACTTATTATCTTCTCCAATAACTTTCCTGATCATTTATATTTATTGAATCCTGAATTTCCTCAGGAAATGTGGCACTCTTTTCCAGGTTCTTCCCACATCTTCTGGGAAGTGCTCATGTTTTGCCTACTGAAATTGGAGACTGCCCTGAGAGCAAGAAAGAACTGCATAGTATACAGAGACCTCAGCAGGGGTTGGATCAGGTGACTCCAGAGGCCCCTTTCCATTAAGCCTAACTCTGTGGTTCTCTAAATAGGCAGCTGAACTGGAACAAAAAACATTTGCCTTTCTTGTACTTTCTTTGGTACAAAAAGGAAAACAAAGTTGGAGGGAGATTGCAGCCTTCTGAAGCCTAACAGAAGATAGCCCTCCAAAACACCTGGGAAGAGAATCAGTGGGAAGGAAGGAGCAAACAGGTGGTATCTACAGATGGAGAAGTAGAGAGAATGAAAATTGAGCCCCCCAGCAAAACTATAGGGACTGCTTTAATGGACAAAAATACTGTGGAGTTCATTCACCCCTAGTTTCAGCTTCTTGTCAACCTGCTGTGACTCATACAGCTCTGTGTTTATGTGCAAGACTGTAAGCAGCATGTTCTCACTTCTGTTTTCATGTTCAGCTTCAGCAAGATTTTTGACTTTTTGAAAAAAATAAGCAGGGAGACAGGTCTCTGTGCAGTGAAATGATAACTTTAACTGATGAAATTAACAATTTCAATTTTTTTTTCAATCTTGTTATTTTATTTTGAACCTTCAACAGATTTAGTCAGGACTGCAATTGACAAACTAAAGCACAATTCCAGAGGCTGCTTAGCAAAATTCATTAAATTAAAAAGCTCTGGTACACTTAACCTACATGGCTGCTTTTCACATTAAATATTGATGTTAACTGCATTTCTTCTGAACCTGAATTAATCTCAGCATTAGGCCTGCACAATTGGAGATGTGGTAACAAAGTGCAGCAGCACAGTAAATATTTCCTGCAGCCTCCAGAGCAGTCATTCCCCCTGCTCCCTCCTGCAACTTCAGTTTCTTCCAAATTCCTTCCTTCTTGTTTCCATCCCTTGCAGTCATGGTGCATTTGCAGGTATTCCTGGGATAGTAGAGTGGGTGGGAACTACAGTCCTTTTCCACATAGTCACTGACCAAGCAGTTGCTTGTATCTGTATCATCTGCATCAGCAGTGTCAAGCCCATTTATGCCAGTATAAATGAGATGTAGCAGCCATTGTTGGCGCCACTAAATTAGATTTTTTTATAATAACAAAGTAATGCGAGCAAGCGTAAGTGAACATTAGGTACTTACTGTGAGCATAAACACTCTAGAAATCATGAGGAGGGTTTGGTACAATCTGTACCATTTCTGCTGCTGCCCTGGGAAGCAATGTTCTCTGCCCTTCATTGCCAGTCCCATTTTATCAGGACTAGGCTCTAATAGGTCAGAACTACTTTGAAAATTGTATTTAAGCACCAGTGTCATCTAGACAGGTTTAAAAATTCTCCCCCATTATGTTTCTTTGTAGAAAATGAGCTGCTTTCCTCAAGGTCTACCAGGCAGCTCTTTTCTTGCCTCTCCTAACCCACGCAGAAGTTAATGCATTTGTTTTTTCCAAGTCTTGTTTATATTTGGCAGCCATATAAATTTGTTTAAAGTGGTTTTATTCCTGTTTCTACTATGCATTTTAGTGCCTTGAGGCAATGAAGATTAACCCTTCAATTAACTATATTCAGTTAGTTATCTGGCTTCTAAATATCTCCTCTGCCCTTCTCCCAAAATTGGCATAGAAGGTTCACTATTAGATTTCCTCTGTTTTCTCTATATTTCTTCTGGTATAGCTGTATTTAATCTGGGCAAAAGAAAGAGTCAGGCTGTGGGACAATCTGACACAAGTTTTGGTAATGAAAGAATCCTTCTAGGCACAAATGTGCTTTCTGGGAGCGCTGTGGTTTCTTGTGAGATAAGGTACAAAAATTATATAAGGTTTGAAGAATCTTTCCTGCCTTATAGCAATGAGTAGTAATTATTAGATTAATTAATGACACTAAGTAATTAGCTTACTACAGCAGAAGAGATCCAAAGTCTGAGTGACAGACACAAACAAGTAACAGTTCACCTTGCCCTCAATGGACAGAGTTTTCCTTTGTGTCCAGGCTGAATTATGTTCTTCGTGTCTTTATGTTTGGTGATGCACAGCCTTCAGCCTCCCTTAGTCAGAGCAAGCAGCTGCCACTCCCTAAAACACCATGGTGAGAGCTGTGTGAGAGACATGGTGTTGAATCCAAGTTCGGCAAGCTTCTTCAGCTGGGCTTCATTTTTTTTTTTTCCCACTTCTTACAGATGTGAAATTCCTGTCAAATTTACTGAAAGCACTAATCTGTCTCCAAGGAACCATAACTGGTGGATGTTTCAACACTTGACTTCGGCAAATAATTGATGATGACTGTTGAGTTTTGCTTTGAGATTTGGGTTCAGTTGAATGTGACACTTATGAGTTCCATCACTGAATACAGCCAGAGGAACCAAAGCAGGAGAGAAATGGCACACTCAAAAAAGCCTTGAGAATGTGGGATATAGTCTTGTTTCTCCTGCAAAATATCAAAGTGTTGCAAATACACAATCAAAGAGGTGATTTGACTCAACCTAAAAAGGTGGGGAGTGACATATCAAATCCATTTTCCTTGCATGGTAGACCATATCAAACACTTAAGACGTTGTCATCTTATTGCAAAAGCTCCATACACTTCTCCCAAGCAAGTCTTTTTCCCTTGGGGTGGTATCTCATACGTTGTCCAGATTTCTAGGCTCTCAGGTCCACCTATATTTCTTTCAAGATCTCGGGTCAGTCTGGCTATAACTTATCTAGTTCTTGGTCCTCCTGGTTCAGGTCCCAGGCTCCTATTCCACCTGGCTCTACTGACTTGCTGCTCTTAAATCTGCAGTGGTCTGCCTGAATCATCTAGGGATCAAGTCTTTACTGCTCTCTCTGCAGTTCTCTACCCAAACCACCATGGGATTACATCAGGATCACCAATTATTGTCCATCTTACTGCAAAAGCTCCATACCTTCTTGGTAATTTCTTACGGGCAGCTCCTCACAGTACCAACTCCTTCTTCCTCACAGCACAGCCAACAAACTCTAACTTCTTGACTACCCAACCTACTCTTTTATAATACCCATCCTAATTGGATCTAGCTGTGTCCTGTTAAGGGCAGGCCTGTTCCTAATGCTTGATAATTAGTGCAGCTGTAACTCCTTAGGGGTGATATTACCTTCATCACTATCTCTGTTCTCCTACATTCTATCCATCCATACTAAGAAGAGCCATATCCATGCACGATAAGGGTCCCTCCAGCCAAATATCTCGTTGCCAGCATTAGTCATGAAACAGATGCTGGAGGAAGCGCCATATGTGACACTTCTTCCCAAACATACCAAAACTTGACAACAACTATCAGTGTGAACAGTTTGTAACACATCTCTAACAGTCACCCAGACTTGCTGTGCCATTTTTTTCTGTGCACAGGTTGTTGGATCATTTCTTTTCCTCTAGTTTTCAGTTGTTTTGAAAATAGAAGATGGATGTGGTCAGCTATGCAGACCATCCCAATGCACATTTACCATTTTGTTGCTACTCCACAGTTTGAGATGCTGACGGGATCGTTACCCTTCCAGGGAAAAGACAGAAAGGAGACAATGGCACTCATTCTCAAGTGAGTATCAAAACTGCTTTCATTCTTCTAACTGTGAGTTAACTCTACTCTCTGAAGACTCCATAGGGCCCAAGAATTTGATGAGTAGAGAATAATGATGTGTGTATTGAACTTTTCAAATCTGTGCAAGGTATGAATTTAGTAAGACACACATAGCTGATGCCTGTGTTTAACTCTAAAATTGCCTTCAGAATAAACAGTAGAAAGTTAATTACTGAGAGGGCCTTACAAAAGAAATTTATCTTACTTTTTGTGATAATGTCAGTATCCACAAAATGTGGGAAAGTCAGATTTCAGCAGGACATCTTATATTTTGTTGTTGCCAAGTTTCAAATCTTTTTCATTGCAATGTCCCATTCATTTAATGTTAAACGGAGACAAAAGTATCTGAAGCTCATCTTTACTCACCAGTACACTTTTTAAAGTTGTGGTGAATGGCCAAGACAAAAGTTTTATTCTCTTTAAACAGTATGCGGTTTAGTATACTTTTTTTTCATTGTTTGATTGTTTAAATTCCTCTTTATTCTCAAATTTATTCCAGCAAACTAAAAAAGTAAAAAAAAAACTGTAGGAAAATTACCTATTTAAGTTGCAAAAGTTTTATGAGATTCATTAAGTCTGCTCTATCTCTAGTGAAGTCAGTGGTAAAACCTTCCTTAAGATGAGCAGAATAAGATCAGCATCTCATTCTGCATTACACTATGCTTAGGTAGCCTTTGGTCACAGATTTCATGTGTCTGCTCATCCTTACTACTGCAGTTCTGCTGTTTCCATTGCAGTTGGATGGAATAAAAGCTCGAGAAATCTCTTTTCTTTTCAAGTGTTGTGTTCTTTCAGAGCCAAGCTGGGAATGCCACAGTTTTTGAGCATAGAAGCCCAGAGCCTGCTGCGAGCCCTCTTCAAAAGGAACCCCTCCAACAGATTAGGTACGTATGCATTTGGTGAGCACATTTGTTATGTGCTCCCTGCCTTGCTGGGGGACAAGTTGTACCTCTCAGCTCATCTTTTCCAGTGGTTATCCTCTTCATTAGCTGGCATTTGGCATTCCTTCCCAGAGCACAATGAGCCTTCAGCATCACTAGAGAAATTTGTAAGGAGTACAGGCAAAGCATTGAAATGTAAACCATGATATCCACTTGTGTTTCATTTTTCTTGTAAAGAGGGTGAGTGAACTGCCAGCTTTTATGAATGATTTAAGATACCTGCTGTGTATGATAATACAGGGAACTGAGAAATAAGTGTGGTTTAAAATCTGTATAATATAGCTGCAAATCTCAGGTTTTTATCTCTCCCATTCTCAAATGCATTTCAAATCTGTCTTGTTCTGTTAGCTAGGGGCAGTCTTGCAGTAGACTTTATTCTTTATTACCCAAATACATCATCTCCTTTTTTCTGATTTTGATGCTACCTAGAGTGGCTACCTAGAACAGAGGCTAGACAGAGTTAAGAGAATAAAATGGGTATTTATTAAAGGTCTTTAATAGATACACTTTGGGCAGTGCAAAAGCCTCGCAGAGGCTACATCCAAGATAGACAATAGTCATGAGTTTTTCAGACAGTATAAGTTTGGTTTATTTGCATATCAGGGGTTAATTCTCCAATTACAGCTTCAGGTAATGAAACCATATTCCCCCAGCTCGCTCCCCAGCAATTCACTTTTGTTTATCCTTTTCGGGGCCTGAGGCTGTGGTGTGTCCTTGGATCTCAGGCCTACGGCAATTGTTTTGTATAACCAAAACGTGCAGACAGTTAACTACACTTTATAGGGAGTTTAGACCTATGCACTGATGCAGTATGGGATTTGAAAGATATAAAAGCTAAAATCTTAAAGAGGCAATGTGTCTTCACCCTTTGTTAATAATCCTCTTCACATTGTGATAAGCTAAACGTATATATTGGATAATGTATCTTATGTCATCTGTACCTTTGTTTACAGGTTTTATTAAGAAATTAATTGCATTTGATGGGGTCATGGACAATGCCTATGGCATGACTGCCACTACAGATTTTGTCGTTATTCCCCACAGGCATGTGGGGACAACCCAATCAAGTGCTCGGTGGCAGTGGGGAGTCAGTCCTGCAGCATACCACTGTGGACCCTCTCCTGGCAAGGGGATCCCATATCGCCCACAGAGGGAATGCCTTCCCATTTGTTTTACCTCCTGATCAAAATAGTAGCCTTGTATTCTGATATACTGTAAACACGAGAGTAGAAAACCACATTTTCTTAGCAGGTTTCAATTGCTCTCAAGAAATTTGTTTCACACTGGAAAAAATAAGAGTATTGAGATTTCTAGGTTTAATATCTCTTCAAAAAAATTAGGTGCTGCACCAAATATAAACTTTTTCCCACTCCCTACCTCTGTCTCTTTCTGCTTTTTCCTCTCTGTCTCCATCTCTTGGTTTTATGCTGCTCTACATGTTTTGTGGCTTCTTACAAGTTGCTATCCATCCAAAATGGAGCTCCAGTAAAGTCAATGGGAGTTTCTGGATACCAGTCCTTAAAAAGCTGCTCAGTAAAAATTAGTTTTAGCCAAAACAATTCTAGCCCTCATATGTTAGTAATGGGGAATTACTAGGGGTCAGGTTTTTAAAACCTGAGGTGTATTGAAATACTGGGAAGGCTTGGAGGAAAAAAAAAAAGAAAGAAAGAAATTATTTATGATAGAAATGTCCAAGGAAATAAAATCTTAAAGGGTAACAGAAAAATAGATCTTAATATTTCAGGGATAATGGTGGAAAGCTCCTGAAGGCATTCTCTGTTTTAACTGATTGAGAATCAGCACAAAAGAAGATGGAAAGGAACCCATTAATAACAAAAGAAGAAAAGCTTGAATAGTTGGCCTAAATACTGAACAGAAGTCAGTAGATAAAAGGACTGCTTCAGCCTTGTGGATTTCAGCTTTTTCTGAGAAAGGAATAATACTGTTTAAAGAAAAGTAGACTTAGACATCTCAATTTGAAAAATCTTAGTAAAATTAATGAAGTGTGCTAAAATAAATGAATGATATTCTGGATCAAACACTTGATTTCAGCCATTGTTTAATAAATTTGCAAACATGGAAAGTGCATTTAGTTCCAAAATCCAATTTTAAACATTTGCAAGATAAAATATGCTCTTTTTGCCATTTGATTTTGGCATCTTAACAAACAGAAGTAAAGATTGATGATGTAATCTGAAATTTTGCTTTGAAATTGTGTTTTGAAGCTTTGAATTATTAATGGAAGAAATATTAGGGTTGAAGCAAGTTAGACAAGATTGAAAAGAAATTTAATCTGATTTACCTGCTTCTATTTTTAAGCGAGATGCCCATATTAATGTTTGTGACAAATTTTTAAGGAATGGAAAGTCTTTCTGGTTTTGGGCACTGTCTCTTCTTTTCTGAGCCTATTTGGTGTACAAATAGTCTGAACAGTACTGCTTTGGTAGTATTGCTTTAAGTAAAACAATTTCAGATTATGGATAAGCATAATTTTAAATTCGTAAACTGACTGAATACTCAGACAAATAAGGAGTAAGCACTCAGAAGTAAAACTTTAGGATGAAAGTGTTAGTTTGTTACATTTCCAGGAACTAGGCAAGAGACTTGCTCTAAGGCCTGGATCTCTCAGGTAGGTAAATAAATTATTTATTATTTAAAATTATTATTTAACAAATTATCAAAAATTTATTTTATATAAAAAACATATTATCTAAAAAACTCCTCCCTATACTGCTGAGCAGTATGAACATGTCCAGGGTCCTTATAATTGAGAAGCTCAGCCCAGAAAGTTTAAAATAAAAGCATATGCCCATAGGCTCAGAGTAAAAGCCAAGGAAATAATTACTGTTTTCTTAATCCCATGTTCTCAGGTAAGATATATTCTGCTTTGGCGCATAGAAGACTTCAGGCTCTAACTTTTTAGAATGATGAGCTTAAACAGAAAACAGCTTTCATTTTAGTCAGAGTGACTGTCAAGCTTTCTTGTAAACCTTAGAAAAATACCTCAAAAATTCTAGCTCACTAAAATATTCTGAAGCTGTAGAGACACTAAAATGTTGTTATCTGAAACTAGCTTAAAAAGCTAGAAACTCTTTCTGATGAATTTGAATATCCAAGTAATCAACTTTCAGGTTTCTTAGGTCTTCTTTTTCCCCCTCAATATTTCATGGCTCATGTTGGCCATAATGATTCAATAATCAAAACCAACTAAAATAAAATATTCTACTCTTACTGTTTGCAGGCACTTTTATTGCAGGCATAAAACTTAGATAATTAAGTTCTCACTTAGTAATGTGAGGCTGCTTTTATATAAATACACTATATAATGTGTTTAAACTGGCAGTTTGATCTGAAAGAATTATTTATCTTCTTGGACCCTGGAGACTGGGATCATCATGGGACTGGATGGCACGTAAGGTTATTTGCAGGAAATAGGTTTGATTGTGCTGATTACTCTTGGCTAATAGGTCTTAT